CTGTCTAGTAAACAGGAGATCCTGGGTTCGACTCCCAGTGGTGCCTGGGCCTGGGGGCTGTTTTTCCTCCCTGCCCCGAGCTGGGGAATCCCACCCAGGTGACCCCACTGCTCTGCACCTTCTCCCCGGGGGGCTCACAGTGCACACATGACCCAAACTATCTCCACATCCCAGGAGAAATAATCTGTGAAATAAAGAGCTACACCCCAAACTGGCCGGACCCCCACCATCTCAATCTGCAACGGCTGCTGAATCCTGCAGGAACATCCCTCTGGACACACACAGGCGCGTTGGCGTTGGGTGGGGGTGATGGAGACCTGCAACAACTCATCCATTTTGGGGCACACACTTTTATGGTGGTGGAGTCTGCATCCCTGGAGATAGTCAAGCTCAGGCTTGATGGGGCTGTGAAGATGTCCCTGTCACTGCAGGGGGGTTGCACTAGATGACTTGGAAGGTCCCTTCCAAGGGACCCAAAACGTTCTATGACTCCATGGCAGAAATAAATGGCAGCCTGGCCTTTGGCATCCTCTGAGGGAAGGGCCAGGAGGGAGCACGGAGAGGGGCAAATGAATTGCCAGCATCTCCTCGCTGCCCTGCCCAGTGCCCGGACACAGGAGCTGGGCCGCTGGCTGCCGTGACCAGCCTCCCCAGGGGACACTCTGAGGAACCAGCCGCAGGTTTGCAGCTTTGGGTGAAAAAAGGGGGGAAAAAAATTCCTCCAAAAAGGGGCTGGAGCCGGGGACGAGGTGGCCGAGCGGTGAAGGCGAGGGACTGCTAATCCATTGTGCTCTGCACGCGTGGGTTCGAATCCCACCCTCGTCGCCTCCCTGGGGACCTCCACCCACCGGGACCCTTTTGCTGCAGCCCCTGCCGTGGACACTGTCCTCTCGCCTCCCTCTCTTTTGCCCTCCTTCATCTTCAGGACGCGGCTGCCTCTGCATTGCTGCTCCCACTTGCCCAACCTGCTCTTGGCTCCTCAGGGACAAGCGCTGCCCTTCTGTACGGGACCAGGGAACTGGCCCCCTCTGGCCCCCGAGCCCAGCTGCCCTCCTGACACAACTGGGTCTTCTCCAGGAGGGAAAGCACCAAACCAGGGGCAGGGGAAGGTGTGGTGCTGGCACTGGGCTGGCACTGGGCTGGCACTGGGCTGGCACTGGGCTGGCAGCCAAACCCAACCGCTCGCTCACTGCCCCCACCCAGGGGAGAGGGGAGTTGGGGGGCCAGGGGAAGGGGACTCGTAGGGTGAGAGAAGAACCATTTAATCATGGAAATAAAAGAAAACTAAAAAGAATAATGACCTTAAAATACTAATGATAATAATAATAGTA